GCACAGCACTGTTACAACCCTCCCCGCCCCCTCACCTGTCATTTCTCACTATGAGCAGACAGCCAGCAGTGCAATCACAACGGTGTCAATCAGTCGTGATTTAATCCAATCATCATCCACGGATCAATCGCTGGGGTGTCAATTAGAAGAAACAGCAGGGGCCGCGGCCCGAACAGAAAAGGCCTTGCTCTCCGCCGCTCTGGCAAAATGTTTCATTTTCAATTTTAAAACATGCAAAGCCGTCATGAGAAATGATTAGATGTCATTCGTTTCAGTTCGCTTTCTTTTCCCAGAAGCTATCCGCTGGACAAAAGTAGCCTCAGTGTGGGATTTTTTTTTCTTCTCGCTCCAGCTGGTATCACATTACTTCAGCTCCATTTGAACATTAGTGTGAACTTTTTTCTGCAAATCTTTCTGTCTTCATATTTCAATCCAGGAAAGAAAAAGCCCTCATGCTGCTGCACACTCATTTTCAACATTTCTTTCCTTGACTACATGTTAATTGACCTGTGCATGCTCCACCCACAAAGCAACTGTTGCGAGATTCTAAGTTATACAGAACTTTGCAAAAATCTCAAACAATCTGAGAAACTGCAGCACACAACTTGTTAAAACAGCGACATTTAGTGTCAATCTTTTCACATCATATTCATTTTGTTTGTGTATAAAAGGCCAGACTATCAGGGCAGACTGGATGTAGTTTTGTGTCATGTTGATCAAGCTAATGTTAGCATGGTGGCTGTTCTTTTCAGCTTTGCGATTTCAATTTCAATTTCTCATTAGTTTGAAAGAGAGTTTTACAAACGTTCCATAAAGCTTGTCCAATCATGAAACTGTTGCTACGAATAATGCATTTGTGGACAGAGCATGAGTAAAGTTATAATAAGACAAATGCTAATTTCAAAATTAGGGATGCATCCATATGGGAACCGTGGGCCGATACTGATACACACTCACTGAGCACTTTAGTAGGTACATCTACCTTGCATCTACACTCAATGTCCATTTTATCAGCTCCACTTACTATATAGGTGCACTTTGTAGTTCTACAATTACAGACTGTAGTCCATCTGTTTCTCTGCATACTTTGTTAGCCCCCTTTTACCCTGTTCTTCAGCGGTCAGGACCCCCATGGACCCTCACAGAGCAGTTACTATTTGGGTGGTGGATCATTCTCAGCACTGCAGTGACTGACACGGTGGTGGTGTGTTAGTGTGTGTTGCGATGGAGTGATGGAGTTTTTAAACACCTCAGTGTCACTGCTGGACTGAGAATAGTCCACCAACCAAAAATATCCAGCCAACAGTGTCCTGTGGGCAGAATCCTGTGACCACTGATGAAGGACTAGAGGATGCTGTGCAGCAGCAGCAGATGAGCTATCATCTCTGACTTTAAATCTACAAGGTGGACTGACAAGGTAGGAGTGGACAGTGAGTGGACACAGTATAACAAAGTATGCAGAGAAACAGATGGACTATGGTCTGCAATTGTAGAACTAAAGTGCACCTATATGGTAAGTGGAGCTGATAAAATGGACAATGAGTGTAGATACAAGGAGGTGTTCCTAATAATAATATGCTAATATATACGCTAATATATTTTTCAATATATTTTTCATGTACATATCTAACAGTGCCAATATCGACACAAACAAAAAATGTAGATATTAGGACTACATCTACCTGGAATACCATTACAGACAAATTTAGCAATTATTTCTGTAGGGTTAAAAAAGAATTAAAATGAATAAGATGCAGATATTTTAGCACAGTAGCCCAGTGACTATAATATCAAACATCAAGTTTGAAATATTAGTCAAATCTAAACACCAAATCTTTTTTAAATCAATTATCTTTCAACCAGTGTTCCTCTATCAATACCTACGAAAAATTCCAAGCACTATTCTCTTATTACAGTTACCAGCTGATAGCAACGAGAAGAAAAATGTTCAGCATCATGATCCTAAGCCCAGTTACCGTAAAATGGGTTTCTCTCTCACTCTACTGCAAAGCCAGTATCAGTGATCAAGGATAAAAGATACAGCTGGAACCATGAACAGCATCCTTAGATACGCAAATAAGACTGTTCTGGTACCAATACAGTTAATGTCACAATGTCTATTGCTATAAAAGATAGCTATGAAATGCAAGATGTCTAAGAAGAACAGAGAGTTGGAAGAGACATGCAGGTTTAAAATGGACATTAACGCATTCAGAGTCCAGTCTAAAAGCTGAGAACAAGATGTCATTGAACATGAAGTGCAAAAACAAAAGCTCCAGTCTTTTCCGATCCACTTCATCTCCTCGCTGATGCAGTCCCACAAAGCCAGCGTGACGTCAGCTCTCAGACCGAGAGCTCTGAGTGACACAGACACTGTACAAATTATATGACACTAGAGGGGTGAATATGGTTTTCTTGTCTAGATTCATCTATATATCTGTAGATTCAAGATTAAAAATAACTCTGAATCACACCAAAGGAATCGAATTGAGGTGAAATTTGGGATGTTATGATAAATTTGTTATGAGGTCATAAATTTCCAACCCTACTATATAGTGTCATCTGACCAATCCGAAAGCCCAATGTTAAACTTCTTTATACTGAGATTTACACACCGACTCAACACACTGCAGATGGAGATTAGGCCTGTCCGAGAACTTTGTGTCCATCCAGATGGTTTCACATCCCTTGCTGGGTCCTTATGGCTCTCGTGTGCATCTGGCTCATGGCCCAAGTCCCCAGTAGTGGCCACACACTGATATGAGCTTGTTAAGGTCAGCTCTATTGTTCCTGTGCGCTTATGTAAGGAAAGCTAGTGCCGAAGCACTAAAGAGCACTGTACATGAATAAATGAAGCAATAAAGCAAAATATAGATGCATTATGAATGAAACAACATGCAGTACAATGGTTTCAATCTAGCCTCAGTTTTTGACTGATAAAATAAAGCAAAAACAGCCTCTATACCCTTCGCAGCACAGCAAATACACAGAGTTATTAATATTTCAGTTTGAGTTTAGGGGTGTGAGTGTGTGTGTGTGTGTGTGTGTGTGTGTGTGCTCTCAGAGGGAGTGTGCCAGTGTGTGTTCTGTCCACATACAGGCAAACACCAACACAACGAACAGCTGTCACATCTCAGTGGCCCTGCCCTGACACTCGTCTCCATGGTCAATATATACACACTCTCACACGCACACACATAATCCCGGGAGTTTTGAGAGCATTTTTAGCTCCAGCAGAGCACTTTGGAAAGCTTAATGTAAGTGTGGGCCATATGGCAAACATACAGTGCTGTGTAATAGCCAGAGACCACCCTTAAATTAGTTCATTTCCATTCAAAACAGCCATTAAGTACATTAGTTTTTTTTTTTTTGGAATCTGAAAAAGCAGAAAATGTAATTAACAGAAAATCACACAGAAGCCCAAACACATTCAGTGATGCCTGGATTGTTCTGGACCACTAGCAGCTTCTTAGTGGTGACAGTTTTGGTGGATTATGAGGTCTTGCATGGTTGTTAGAAGTCCAGTTTTCTCATTTTTTACTTTTTTAGCTCTAGTTTTGAAAAATCACCTCAAAAATATCTTCTGAAAAATTAAAAATTGTACTGGAAATAGGTGTTTGGACTTGAAAATAAATAAATGAAGGGTGGTCTCTGACTTCTGCATAACAGTGTATACATTTTCACAATGCACAATATGCATCACAATATTTACTTTTGCGAATACATCAGAATGGAAGAAACATTAGTGATGCATTTAAAAAGGCTATAAAAACAAGTACAATAACTGTTATAATTCAACAGTTGCCAAAATTTACATGTAAAAAGAAACAAGAGGTAAAACCGAAAGATTAGCAAAAAATAATTTCAGAAAATAAGATGTCATAGTGGACTGGCATCCCGTCAGCTACTTGTTGCTATGCAGCTTGTATACACTGGTTATTGTCATTTACAGTATCTCTCTAATTTATCTAAACCTGTCTTTATGATACATGATACATTAATCAGTGTTCCAGAAGTGCTGACGACACCCAAAATATACTCAGAAAAGTGAATCGTGAGGTAATTTATCACGATAAGGATACATATCGTCATATTGCCCACCTCTAGCTTAATGCAGAAGGTACTATCTTCTATTTTGTACAGAAAAAGGCTGGAAGGCCTCACTTCCTAGAAGCTATCACAGTACCATTTGGTAATGCTTATGATCATAAAAGAACTATTGCAAAGACAATTGCACTTTGAACTATGTTAAATGTGAAAAAGCATCAATTCCCTTCTCTTCCACCTACACTACAGAGATGCAACTTTACAGAATAACGAGAATATAGTAGATCAACACATTTCTAAACGATTAATCATGTGCAGACGCATAAATGTATGGCATCATAACAATATCATTAAAGATAGAATTACAGTACAGTCTGAGGAAGCCGTTGTGTACTCTACAGTCTGGTTGAAATTTGTCTAATCAAGAAACAGCAATAATTGCTAAAACACAAAATATGAAAAAATATGCTTTTAGGCATTATCAAGAGCCGACAGAGAGCACAGTTTCTAACCTGGCATCTGCCCAGCGGATTTATAACACCAACAAATTCAGACTACACAAGCATTCATGTTAGTCACCTGGAAATCTACGCTATGAAATTCTAACACCTAACTCTATGGAAATCTAACGCACACGTAAAAACTTCTCAGTTAGAAGGTTAACTTTGTCTGACCTCTTGTTCAGGCAACTCAATCTTGCTAACTTCCTGCGAATTACTGCTGACTACCTGTCTTGCTCTCTCGCGCTCTCTTTTTCCGAGTGCAGAAGGAGGTCAGTGAAGCTTATGAAACCTGAGTATTTTTCCCCGAACAGTCAAGACACTTTAAAACAGAAAATGTGCAATATCGATATTCCGAAGTAGCAAAGAGTACTTTGAAGACTTCCTTTACTACAGTACTCTATATATTAATGTGGGACATATATAAAGATGATATGTGTTCTCTTTCCTACTGTCACTCCTGATAAAGAACATGTAAATATTGTAAATATTGAGTTTCTAAAGAAGACTCGAAGACTTGAAAAGACTCCAGGTAGTCCCGGTCAGTTCACTACAAACACAGCTACTCAATAAAATGGTACTTTCTAAGGACGTCCCATCAAAATTCCGTTTCTATTAGATCGCTTCTTCTCCAAGGTTCCCGCATTCCGTCTCTCATTTGCCACAGATAAACGACGCCTTGTTGACGTCTTGGCCAATGACGGTTCAAAATGGATGGGGTACACAAACAGCACCTTACAGCCATGGCCGAATCCAATCTCCTGCCTTCATCTGCATCTGAGAGTGGAGGATTCAATCAGCCACATGACGTCGGCCATCTTCATCCCTCCTTCCTCACCATCTTCCTCCCTCTACTCTAGCTCAGAGCGTATGGGCCAAGGCTCTAGAGGGGAACGTGGCCAGGGTGGGCTCTAAAAGGAGCTACACGCCTCTCTCGGGCTGCCTAAAGAAGGGGACGCTGAGTCACAAAAGGTCATCGTAGTCTAGCAGTTTGGAGTGCTGCCGGCTCTTCCACAGGCGGAACAGGCGGAAGTCAAAGTACATCTCGATCATCTCCTTCCCTGCACAAAGACCAGGAGCAACAAGAGAGCTTAACTGTTTATTCTGAGAACAAAGACATTGTAGGCAAAAGTTAATTATACTCCCTTTTTTAAAGAAACATGCAGTCGGTCAGTGAAAAACACACCATAAAGTCTATGTATGGCAACTAAAGTTAAACTAGACAACCTGTTGTGAATTTATTATCTTTGTGATGTCACAAAAAGCATCACATATTCACCTATGCAGCCTACAGTAGTTTATATAATGATGAATCATATAAAAAATATTTGGAAATATAATTATGGCTGTTCTCAGTACAAAAGACACAGGTGTCATAAGAAGACCTTGGGAGAAATAAATGAAAAGCTTAATGTGACATTATTTATCACAACAATAACATACCGTATCATACTGCCCATCCCCAACCTCAATGAATGTATGTTTTTCATCTTTAAGAAAAAATGCTGATGTTGTGCTTAAATCTACCAGTTTATTAGTTACTTGTAGTTGCAAGTTTATTAGTTATGTGTACCGACACTCACTGGCCAATCAAAATCAGAAAAACCTACCATATAGGTGCATTTTGGAGGTTTATAGTTACTGACTGTAGCCCATCTGTTGCTAATTTATCTTCTATCTACTTTCTCCCCAATCAATGGAAAAGGATCACCACCAGACCCGCTGACCAGACGTTATTTAGCTGGTGAACCACTCTCACCATAGCAGTAACACCAGCATGGTAGTCATGGTAGCATAAGTGGGTGGTACTGCTATGGGTATATCTGGCACAGCAGACTTATATATTAAATACTATAACTGTGTATGAGTTTATTTCCAAAACAAAAACTATAAATACTTTTCTTAATGTCCCCTCCCAAAGAGTACACTTCAGAAGCCAGTGAGACCTCAGCACTGTTACATGGCAAAAACATGTATCTGCATTTTTGTCATTTTAAAATATTTTTACATAAACTGAAAGTGGCAGATACTGCCTACATTCTGTCAAGATTTAATTAGAGTGGACCTATAGAAACGGTCCAAAATAACTTTGAACAATATTTTGCTACATTAACTTCCATTTGAATTTATAACATTTTTTTCGTCTCCTGTAATGTTACCATTTTGGAAAGGTTTTGCTTTGGGTTTGTTGCAACAGTGATGGAATGTAGAGCTTCTTCATGTCAGAAAAGCATAACAAGTGGCTCTTCATGAAGCTGCTTGACAGAATGCCAAGAACGTGCAGAGCTACAGTCATATAACATAGATAAAATGTGCCGTAACTTTCAACAAGCTACACTGTGTTTTTTTCCAAACATGTTAAATTTAACAAACAGTAATTGTTTATTAAAATGTGCAGAAGTGTTGTCTGTGAAGGATGTGTACCTATTCTCACTTAATAAAATCAACAAAACGCAAAAGTAGGGACGAATCTGAAACAGACCATCTTAAATACAATTCCTAATTGTGGAAAATACTAAAAAACAGGGGAAACCCTGTAGGTGTGTCCAAACATTTGGCTGCTACTGTATTCTACAAAATGATCTGCTGTCGCGGATGGTGTGAAATGTAATGAGGCCTTGGTTTTGAGCATTGTTCATTTCTGAGCACAGTTTAAATACAGTTCTCCATTTAACACTCTTCTAATTATGTTTGCTACCAAGAAAGGAAGGAGAAGAAGGAGGGAAAGAAGGAGGGAGAGAAAATGAAGGAACTCTCCTGGGTCCAATAAAGAGATAGAGACTGTGGGGGAAGATAATGAGATTTTAATTGAAGAGTAATTACCAACAAATCGATAGTTGCGGTGGAGGAGAGAAAAGTGTGATAAGGTCAAATTTGGCACGGTTCATGTGTATCTGCATGTACACACTGTCTGAGGACTTGTCGCGCACGTGTGTGTTTCTGTCCGTCTGCCACTGTCTGATGGATGAGCATCATTTACTGCCACTCTCCTCAGCTGAGGGGTGATATCGGAGAGCTGCTAAGCAGGTCGCATGACTGAGCACCACCGCATGAGTTTATGAGAGCATAATCGAACTCTGTGTGTGTGTGTGTGTGTGTGTGTGTGTGTGTGTGTGTGTATACATACTCACCCTGCGCAGAGAGTTCCAGCGGACTCTTAAATTCGACAGCGTATGGTCTCATCAGCCGCTTGAGGTTCTGAAACAGCTGAAGGAAAATCAAAGTGATTTTGCTTTTTACTTGTTCTCCAATTCCACACCTTGCAAATCAGCACATTGTAAATGAAAATGAACAGAGAGAATGTTCTACCCTGCACCACCTTAGGAGTGTAAAAATGCAACCATGTATTGAAATGAATCAGTTTAAAGGTGGTGATTCAACCAATTTTGGAATGTTAGAATGATTATAATAATAAAAAAGTGGTTCATCAGTTCATCCTAATGTTACATCCATGTATACACCTTGCTCAAGCAACTTATATTGGCTTGTTCATGCAATTATGATAAAAAAATGTCTGAATTCATTTCTTTTTATGACTTTCTGAAATTACGCTCTTTCACCACTACTGACTAAACTGAAAAGTTCACAACTACATAGCACAATACTTATGAGACCGTAGGAATCCATTTTGGCCTCAGACTTCCCCTCTGCACTAGGTATCTCTGAGAATCCAAGGAGAATCCCTGCTGCAATCTTGAAAGGCTATCAGATTTTCAGAGGGAAAAGGCAGAGGGAAGCTTCTACCAGCAGCCATCTAAACCCTCGATTTGTCTTGTGAGTGGGAGTCTGCAGTAGACTGTGGACTTCAGACAGCGCTACATCCCAACCTTCAGTTGTGAGCAAAAGTTTAGACCAGTTTTGCAGTTTTGGCCAAATTACACCTAGATATGCCAGAGGCATTTTTGGAAACAAGTGCTGTGGACTGATGGAGTAAAAACTGAATTCTTTCATCATATTGACCAAGTGTATGTTTGGATAAAAAGGAGCAGCATTTGATGGAAAGAACACCTTGCCAACATAAAACATGGGGGTAGATCTGCTATTTCTACTAAATATTTCAGTGTTGTGTGGCTGCCAGTGGCACAGGAAACACTGGTCGTGTAGATGGAAGAATGGATTCATCTAACCATCAGCAAACTCCTAAAATGTGACACAATCAGTCAAGAAACTGAAGCTGAGGCCGGCTTCTATGAAAGGACAATGATTCAAAACATACTTCAAAATCCACCATGAACTAATTCAACAAACACAAACGGAAGCTTCTGAAATGGCCCTCACAGTCGCCTTACCTGAACGTCATTTAAAAATCTGTGGGTAGGTATAAACACGCTGTGCACTCAAGATGGCCCAAGAATATCACAGAACTAGAAGCATTCTGCAATGTGGAGTGGGAAAAAAGTCCTAAAACTAGAACAGAAAGACTGCTAGCAGGCTATAAAATGCTTGCAAGCGGTGTTATCTGCCACAATTATCCTACTTAGAAGGATAATTCCAAACTTTTGCATCTGCCACAATTACAATTTTATTGTTTTTGTCACAGGACAGCCAGGGAGCGGACCCAAGTCAGAGAGGAAAATCCTTGAGGATGGCTTTTAAAAACAGATTCGTGAAAATAATATAAACTATAGAATAATTTATCCATCTTCTTGGTAGTTATATAGTGTGACGAGGTGTAATAAATAAGGATGTGGAGACAGTGAGTGTGTTGTGTATTGTTGGAGGGGAGTAACCAGCAACCCTGGCCTTGCAAGCCCAGTGCCCTACCACTGCACCACTAGGGAGCACAGGTGATGAGAGGAATTACACCCCTCTGAATGGTGGAGGGGGGGGGAAAGGCGGGAAAAACAAACAAAGATGGCAAAATGGCCTAACACAAGCAAAGGATAAATTCAAGAAATGACCAAACCAAAAGACCTCTCAAAGGAGAGATGGGGAGCAGACTATATTGCAGCCTTTTCTTTTCCTTTTCTTTTTTCCTTGACTTAAATCAAAACAATGTTTCTTTCTCCTTCTTTCCTTTTTCTCTGTTCTTCTCTGTCAACTAACTTAGAGCAGTGCTCTGTTTTCTCCTCTTTATTTTCTCTTTTTACCCTTTTCTTGTCTTTCTTTTTTGTCTTTATACCCACAAGCCCCCCCCCCCCAAAAAGGTGTGACAAGGGTTTGCTGTTGGCCACAGCCTTAAATGCCAGTACCAACAGGTGCACCTGGTTGGCACTGATTACCACTTGGTATTATGGGATTTTGAGTCTCCTTGAGTAACACTGCTTCGCCGCCATAACCCTCTGCCGGCAGTACAGGCTGACCCTTTACAGTTTAATATATATATATATATATATATATATATATATATATATATTTTAAGTTAGTCAAATCTAAAGTAACTGTGGGTAAACATTTGCAGAAACAAATTATATTTTTGATATCACTTTCTGCAAATGTTAATGCAAAGTAACTTGATATTTGTTACATTATATTTCAAAAAAACAACTAAATATGTCATTTGGCCTGGGTGCCCAAACTTTTGCATACCACTGTATTTCAGAAAAATTAGGAAAATTATTTTTTCTTTTGATTAGAGGGTTTTCATATTTTAAACTCACCACGTTCCACACTTCCTTCAGCCAGTGAGCACTTATTTTGCATGATGCAGGTACACAGTTCAGTAGAGTGGAAGGAACGTCAATGATAAAAAGTAATGGAAATAGCAGCAAATCTCCCACCGTCCACCGAAACAAGCATTTCCAGACTCCAAGCAGCTGAACTTTCCTGCAGACGGTATTAGGTGAAATCTGCAGGAGCCGAAAATGTGATGCTTGTCGCTGCTGTTGTGAGCCTGAAGGAAGCGGAGGCGGTGTGCATGTGTGCGTGTGTGCCGCGGAGCACAGGGAGCTAAATTAGAAGGAACAGCAGAGTGTTAAGCTGCTTGTTTTGATAAGGATTATGGGTGACCTTTGCCAGAAGGGGGTATGTTGTAATGTCTGAGAGCATCCTTCATCTGTGGAGCGAGCTGGACAGAACACCACTGAATTCCCACATCACATACTCTACTTTTCTAACAGCAAAGCTACATTTAGCTAACTAAAGAACTGCTATCAGAGTAAGCTAACATTAGACAGGGTTTGCTTTTGCTATGGCTTACTTTAGGTATAAGAGGCCGTAGTTTACTGAAATCATTTGCAGTCAGCATGCACACACACAAGACTAACAAATGTTACTAAAATGTGTATAGAGAACTGTGTAAAAGTTCGAGACCACACTTCACTTACTTCATTTCCATTCAATTAACAGCAGTTAATTAAAGTTTTTCAGCATTTAGTGTGTCCAGCTTTTGTCTTTACTACAGCTTCCATTCTCTTCAGGACACCACCATTTCACAGTGGAAGGATGGACAGAAACACCTGTGGATTTTTTCATATCTGAAGCAAGAGTAGAGCTTAATTTTCTCCTATTATGGAATTATGAATGTTTTTGCTACATAAAACCACACAAATATCACATAAATGGATATAACTGACGACCATCATGGGCAGAGGGGTCAGGTCTGGCCGCAGTGCAGCAGCCAGGATCAGGCCCAAAGCCTTCTTCACAGCCCTCCTCATTTATCAAGATGACCCAGACAAAACAAATTAACAATAACAACAACAGCAACAATAATATTCCCAGCGGAAACAATGCCATCATTGCACTCCAATGCAATATGACTCACAACAGCACCCAGAAGTATCCAAACTCAACATTTGGACTGTCATTGTGATCAATGTGCTGAGTAAGAAGAGCCCTCCCTAAAGCAGCATTATGTGTACACCAGCTTTTGTTAAAGCCCTATTGAGCTTCCAGTGAAAAAAATACACAAGACATATGGCTACCCGCTGGCAGCCTGGCACAGCTCTCTAAAACAAGCCTGCAACTGCATTCTCACGATATGTAGCTTTCATCTGACGCAAACAGCAGGTCTAAAAGAACAAAGAAGTGGAGCTTGGCATAAAACTCTGAAGTGCTGGCCACACCTGGCTAAGGCAGTGTGTGTATTTATAGAAGGATTACGACATCTCCCAGTTCCCCTGCTCTCTCTGCTGAGCGAGAAGGGGGGTAATGCAGGTGGGAGAGAGAGGGTAGAGGGGAAAAATTGCTAAACACAGCGAAAACAAGCTACGGTCATGTTTCTTTCCTCTTCTCAAACTGCACTTTCTCTTTAGACCAGTGAGCAGAGATGAGTCAGGAGAAATGCTCAGCTGTTTTAAGTGCAGAGGTACATGAGCATGTCAGGTAGTGCAGAGTGGTAGGGAGTGAGTTTGTGTACTGATGTGAGAACAGGGCTGTTGTAAAGCACTCTCCCGTCTGGCCTGCGTGTACTGAATGCTTTCTGTTCGACCGAAAAGAGAAACCCCAGTGCTATACCACTGTAAAAGCCTGTGGGTCTGTTTAAAGGAACAGTTTGACCAACTAGTTCATTTGCTAAAGTCCACACCAGGATTGCTATTGTGACAGTGGTTCTTATCAAAGTTGCATACAGTCAAATCTGACTGTAAAATGAGTGCATGCAAATTTCACCAGCAGTTTGTTATTCATTATTTTCATATTTTGCATATCTATACAATCAGACTCGTGTCTGGTTGCAGTATATGCAAATTTGAGCATAATAGTTTAACCACCTTTAAAAAATGCTTGATTTGCAGTTTATTCTTATTACTGTTATTTACTATCATTACTGCTAATAACATGTGCACATGGCAATCCAGTACAAAAGTGTACTTCTTTTACATGCACACTGGTATAAACAAATGCTGCAGCTGTTCCATACTGCACTGTGCTTTTGTTTTATATTACTGACACTGCCTAAAAATAACAAATACAAAACATGCTTATGTAGGAATGTCTCATACACTGCAATAATATGGTTTTTAAAAATGCTATGTTAGGAAAATAATTATACTACACACTACAATCACATTAAAAGCTTTTGTTGAGCTCCCATTTTATTCCGTCCAGGCATAGCCATAATGTTTGGTCAGTAGGGGAGCAGCGCACTCACTGCTCGACCTCAGACCCCACCTATGAGCACAGCAAATGGCTCACAAGCTGCTAAATGCTGTCGTTTTAATGGCTCCCTACCGAAAACATCTATATCAATTAGGGTGTACTACATGTAAATGATATGTAAATGAGGCACTGGTAGGCTGGCACCTGATTTCACGCACTGATGCTAGTTACGCCCAAATCTCTCCTAGTTTCCGCGTTGTACGCAAGTTTCATGAAAGTTCCAGATGCAGAGTAGTTTATCCTTGACGGCGGTCCAATCTGCAGCCATTACATCTTTTTCTTCGGTTTGGTTAGTTGCACCTGCAGTGCACCAAAGTATCTTGTTTTTTCATGTTTGCCTCCATTAAATGACTTATCCCTTATTTTAACTTTCATTATAAATCCAGATCTATCCCTTACATATATTCTTGATAAAATATATAGTGTCCTTTATGTTCCATGAAAATAAAGGTGCTCAGCATGTATTGCAATAAGAGTAATAAAAATAAACCTTACTTGATTTCTACTTCTTTATGATCAGTTGGTTTAATTACGCATCACTATAAATTCAATCAGTCATGTGTGGCTGAGCCAATGAAAAATACCTTCTGCAGTCCATGTGACAAAATCAAACGCTTCACTATTGTTTATCTGCTGTTTTAGGAACAATATGAGCCTCTGAGCCTCTGTTAAGAGTCAAATGTTGAAAACAGGTAGGTTGTGCAGAGAGTAGATTGCAGACATGCACTGAGAAAAGCATGCTCTGGTGATGAATTCCCTTGTCTATTGCAAACTGTCACAAAAATGTGTTCCCATTACGTTTAACTTGGAATCAGACCAACAACAGTGATTTTTGGAGGACGAATGTTCTGTTGTTTGGTGCCAACCCACTTAAGCAAGTCTATTTAAGATCACTTAACAACTTTAGATATTTTGAGACAAGTGCCTGATATTAGACATGCAGTTAACACAATGCTAATTGGTGTACATAAGCTTTCATTACTTGTTAGTTACTTTAGCCTTGTAGCTCCACTGCATAATTAAAGAAGCTAACTTCAGACAGCAAACATATTTTGGCTGATTGACGACATTTGGGGTAAGACAGGCCGATTGAAAAGCATCTACTTATGTCTGGTAATATATACTGGTGTGGTTAATTATGCAGCTCTTAGGACACACATTGTTTATTTGTTTATTTTTCAAATTCTATACTTATCTCTCCATCAGTTCACAGGCTAATATCACCGAATAGTTACACAACGCCTGGATCACCAGAGGCTACTGTCACTGCGCATCAGTGTATGTTCGTGTGTTTGTGTGCGTGTGTAAGTAAGAGGCAAAAAAGCGAGAGAGATAAATGGAGAGGGGAGAGAGAGAGAGAGAGAGAGAGAGAGAGAAAGAGAGAGCAGAGATGTGGCAGCACAGGGTGGGCAGGTTGGGGGTGGTAGACTACTTTGTGTCAGTCACGCAGCACCTGCTTGTCAATCTCATCTCTCATAAACACACCTCCACCTGCCTCACACACATTTACAGCTTCACAAGCTGTTCATTTGAGCTCATTTGACCCTTTTATACTTTAACAACAATATTACTAGTTATTCTTATTACATTATGCTTACTAACTAGTTATAAAACTACATTAAATTTTATTACTAAAACTAAAACTAGTTATAGTTTTGAATAACTACATAAACATACACTATATTGCCAAAAGTATCGCTTGTCAGCCTTCACACGCATATGAACTTGAATGACATCCCATTCTTAATCCATAGGGTTTAATATGATGTCGGCCCACCCTTTGCAGCTATAACAGCTTCAACTCTTCTGGGAAGGCTTTCCACAAGGTTTAGGAGTGTGTTTATGGGAATTTTTGACCATTCTTCCAGAAGCGCATTTGTGAGGTCAGACACTGATGTTGGACGAGAAGGCCTGGCTCACAGTCTCGCTCTAATTCATCCCAAAGGTGTTTTCTTAAGTTGCATTAACAGATATGAAGATTTCCCTTCTTCCTGCTATAAAGTCAATTTCAGAGCTGCAAGATTTTCTTACAACAGTGATGGTATACAGTAACAGGCCTATTTCTATTTGGATTAGCCCTACTTATTATTGGATTAGTTCATCATGTGTACTTTAAAGTACCATATAGACCTGGAAGGCGGATATTTTATACAAGTCAGGTGATTTATCCATGCTCCGCCCAGAAATGTGTTCTTTTAAAGCTACTGCAAAAATCCCACTCGACATAATCAGAAGCTTTAGCACATTTTGCTTTGAGGCGCTACATAACATTGAGTTTCTAGGTTACAATGCTATACTACTGAGTTGGAATATGTTGTAGCTAATAAAAACTGGGAAGGTTGGAAATTACAATGACATATCTGTCACCACGCTACCACTCTCCAGATTTAGATTTTTGGTAAAAAAAAAAAAAAAGAAAATTGAGTTATTTGCTAAACTTCTTTATTGTAATGGGATATTTGTCAGTGAACTGTAACGCTTGTTCAACCTCGCAATAGTCACTACAAAAGAAAGTATTTGTTGGTTGAGCATGAATAGGTCAATTCTTTAGGTTTAAACCATGTCTTAAAGAGATACTATACAGAGTGAAGCATACATGAAACTATGAGATGTTTTTACGTAAAGCCTGGCTTAAAAATCCATAATCCATTCCAACAATGGATACTGATGAGAGCATGATTGAAATGCTGAATGCACACCACGTTATGAAAGAGATTTGGAGGCTGATGGGTAATAGATACCTTCTCTCCGTTAGCATTGCCCAGCACATAACAGCCCATAATGTGAATGAGATTGGGCTCAGGGTTCAGCAGACTCATCAGCCGGGCCAGTTTCTTCCAGAACCTGCACAAACAAACACACAAAAAAGGCAATTTGGGCAACCAGCTTACACTGCCTGTAAGTCTGTTAGTGGATCTGTTTATTTCTGGTCATGTTTTTCTTGCTCAGTTACAGTCATTCAGTCACAGTCATTAAATCACTTTGAAGTTTCAGATGCAGTCTGTTATCATATATCTGCTGTCATTCAGTCGCTTTACAGACAGTGCTGCTCTTGGTTTATCTTTTTTTCTTGCTCTGTAACAGTTCTGTAAACTTTAATGTGAATATTTCTTCGCATACTGTTCATATCACAGCAAGTCATAAGATAACCTTGTACCTCCGAAACAGAAACGTTATATAATTTAAAGAGCATCTGGCATTGTCCAATGAAATACTGACATACATATATATCATTACACAATTCCACATGCTCTTACATATATATATATATATACACATATATGTCACAGGACGCTGCCCACAGGATGATGTTGGCTGGTGGACTATTCTCAGTCCAGCAGTGACACTGAGGTGTTTAAAAACTCCAGCAGCACTGCTGTGTCTGGTCCACTCAGACCAGCGCAACACACACTAACACACCACCACCAAGTCAGTGTTACTGCAGTGCTGAGAATGATCCACCACCTCTATAATTAACTATTTCACATCAAAGCAGTCTGAATGACTGTTTACATCTCAGTGACTGAATTATGAGAAAATGTATAAAAACCTGTGGACTTTCTTTTTGAAAGTCTTTGATCTTTATGAATGTGCAAGCTGAGCTGGAACTCACTGTATCATGTCCTCCTCTTTCTCTACTTTAGCAAAAGTAGCCACTTTGTTCTTCAGCAGATAGAGGTGTCCAGGCCCACCCTGGAGGTTTAGAGGGGAGTCTTTTGGTTAGACATATTATACACACACTTCTTCAAATGTGCACAGTGTAGGCACACACATATTGCTGCTGTCGGAACAAAACCTTGTATCTCCATTTTTGCTGTTTTTCAGTTTTTGACATCATTTGAAAATATTTGTTGTCCTCTTTACATTGTTTGTAAATTTCATCATGAATGGACCAAAAGGAATGGCCCAAAATAACTTGGGAAAAGGTCCGGTTCGGTTAACTTACATTAAAGTATGTTTTTCCTTCTCCTGCAAAGTTATCATTTTGGAGATATGAGGTTTTGTTCCAACAACAGCAGGAACAACAGGGAATCGGGTCACTGGCCCTGCCAAATCTACAGTTGAGGAGCCCCTCCAATCCCAGGGCTAGAAAAAAGCTGTTGTAGTGAAGCTGCACTTAACAGTTGGAACACAGTACTGATTTTAGCATGTAGGGACGCTATGGCAACCAGAAACTGCATGCATGTATTTGACTCGCTGTTTCCTTTCCCTGTTCAGCCATAGCCTGGCATGCTGGTCCTCTACGGCAGGCAGAAAATACTGACACATGAGCATAAGTTTTACCTTGGGTTTTATGGTGTTTTAAATCAAAATTTTATTTTCACTTGATAATGACACTCTCATATAATATAATTTATTGATTTTTCCATTTTCCTACCATATGATCTGCTTGTAATATTACAAGAATTGACAGCAATCACTTTATCTTCTTTATCCCTTGATTTTTCATGTAGATTATAAGCACTTTGTTAGTAAATTATAGAAACTAATTAAGCCTTATATATATATATATATATATATATATATATATATATATATATATATATATATATATATATACTTGAATTATTTTGGTTGTTGCTTAGAGCTTTGATTCCCGCTGCTGCAGCATTAATTACGCTTTATTTCCTTGGCTACTGTTGCCGTCCCCAAAGCCGTCAAAGCTTTGTGTGTGTGTGTGTGTGTGTGTGTGTGTGTGTGTGTGTGTGTGTGTTTGCGTCCCTTTTGCAGCCATGGTGAATAACGAGGGAAATTATGTTGAACTAAAAGATTTTTTGTATTGGAGTGAAGGTGCACAGTCCAAAGCTGAAACTGAACCACACAAAGTTCGATGGGTGGTCCCTTCTCCTCATGCAGTGTAACAGTGGAGATAACTTCTACATAAGTGTATGATCATGAAAATGAAAAAAAATACCAACTTTTCTGCACCCCCCAACCCTGGTGTTCAACCCAAGTTGCTGCCTGTGTAAACACAGATTGCTCACCTGACAGTAAATAAGCATGTTCCAGATTTTGCAGCCTTTTCTGTAGGCGGTTAGTTTCTTCTCGATTTCCTCTGGGTACGCAGGGAGAGGAATATGAGAACAGAGAGAGATAGAAAGAAAGACAGAACGAGACAAAGAGGGAGAGAGAAAGAGGGAGAGAGAGGGAGTAGAGAATGAGTCAGTCAACAATAGGCAAAAACACAGCACTGGAACACCTCCATTAGATGAACTGTGAGTAACTGTGAGTTCTCATAGTAAACACAGCATCAGTAAAGTGCTGTCCAGTTAATGACACTCACCCAGTATATCATCAAAGGTAGCGTGCTCGTGGTCCTGCACACACACGCGCACACACACACGCACACACACAGAGAGAGCAGGGCAGATGAGAAAAAGACATTTACTTTTCAAATCAAGTCAAAATGACCACTCACTCTGCATTATTTTTTACTTCAAACCATCTTTAAATTTGCATTTAAAACTATATTTTTTATTCAAAACATCAAAAAAATCTTAAAAACAGTACTGTGCGAAAGTCTGAGACCACCCTTCAGTTATTCCATATCTACTCAAGTTATTCATTTGTAACATCAGGAAACAATCTGAAAACATCTTCAACAGAACAACAAAATATATTATTTTTTTAGCTTTGTGTGTCCACTCTAAGACTCCTTTACTACAGCTTCCATTTGTTTTTTAAAGAAATCTTTGTTTTTTAAAGAAATCTGCAGAGACATTTTTCTACACCTTCACAGTTCAGTCTTAGAAGTTGGTTGCATTTTCAGCTTCTCACAATCAAAATAATAAAAAACTCATTCAGTGATGTTAAGATCTGGACTCTGGGGTGGTCAGTCCATTGTTCTGAGAACACCAGCAGATTCTTTGTTGAATTTACAAATGTTCTTCTTTTTTTGTTTGTTTCCTTTTCTCAGTGAGGGCTTCTTGACAGCTACACCTCCTTTCAGACTCACTGCGTCGAGTTATCTCCTCACAGTGGAGGGATGGACAGAAACACCTGTGGATGTTTTCAGATCTGAAGCAGCTTAATTTTCTCCTCTCTCTCAAAGATGAAAGCTTTAAGTACTGTTTATCTGATGGGGACCGTTTTGGTGGTCCATCATATCTTGCATGGTTGCTAGGAATCCCATTTTTTTTTCTCATGTCTTTAATCATTTTTAAAATCCAGTTTTGTAAACTCTTGTTTTTCCTTTGACTTTGTCTTTCCTTATGCAAATGGATTATCTTATATCTAATCCCCTCAGAAATCAGTAAACTGAAAGACTTGTACTTAACTGCTATTTTGACTGGAATTTACATAAATGAAGGGTGGTCTCTGCTTTTTTTACACTGTACTCTATATTATCTTTTTTTATTTTACTTTGAAGCATCATTACATTTTGATTTATTCAGAACATCAGAATAATACTTTCATATTCATGGCGCTCTTGTTATGATCAAGTACAGTTACAGGAGCTTCACAAACACATCATCTGCATTGCTAACACAAAATAACAAGGCTGGCCGTCAGATGAACATTTGCATTACCAAGCAGCTTTCGTAACAGGTCAGGACAAAAGACTCTTTGATCAGTATGAATAACACCGGCCGGTGAAAGACTCACATAGAGGATAGGGATGATGGAGGGGTCGTTCCTGCGTATGATGTTGGGCACATACTCCGCCTTCGGAACCTTGGACGATATCAGCTGCACAAAGAACAAGAGTGAACACGACCCCAATCAATGAGCTTGTGTGTGGGCAAAGGAGCTGGGTGCAATTAAAGAGGCGTTCTGTTCAAAGGGAGAAACCTTTATGTCCTTTGGCCAACTCTGCTTACCAAGCAGGGTATCTAGAGCTGCGTTCATAACACTTCTCAGTGTAGGAGTAGTGTTTGTTAGTAGTTACATAGAGCTCTAGGGTGTACAATTAGTGTAACTGCGGTGAAGCTGTTTCCGTAGACACCTACATTTCTTCTGACATCAAATGCATTAACAGGAGTTTGTCCCCCCCCTTTGTTCAAGTAATAGCCTCTACTCTTCCTGCAAGGCTTTACACCAGATGTTGGAACATTGCTGAGAGGATGTGTTTGGATTAAGCCACAAGAGCAATAAACAGCTCAGGTACTGAGGTTGGATGATTAGTTCTGGACCACAAACGGCACTCCAGCTCATCCCAAAGGTACTGGATGGAGCTACATCACTCCAGAGAACACAGTTCCACTGCACCACTGCGGCTGCTCTAGAGTGTTCCATTGCATTAGTCAACACTTTTACATGGAGATAATACAAGCTGCGTTTGAGTGCGTCAGCAATGGGCGCACTTTAAAGTAGCTGAATTCACTAATTAGAAGGGGTGTCTGGATATTCTAGACACATCGTAACAGAAAAACACTGCATTTTTACTTATATAGGCAGTGATGAGCACATTGTAAAATTAGCCTACGTACAAGGATCAACTGGCACATGCTCACAGATAACATAACTATGACAGTTAGCTACCAAAAATAACCCATAACTTCTACATTCAATGTATAATTAAATTTTCCTTATAATCCTGAAAGACTTCCATTTTGTGTGGCTCTTAAGCTGAACATTTTTGCTTACTTTCCTATTAAATTTCAAGCAAAGGCCAAATATTGGGATGTATGTTAGAGAGTGGAGACAAATCTAAATGTTTTTCTAGTAGCTAAACAGCATTTACCTTCATATCACAATGAAAAAATGATATCTTGGCAAGTAAGAGCATCCTGAATGTAGAAGATTGTACAGTTGTATATAAAAGTGTGGTCAAATTACATGTTTTGATGATTTTCAAGATAGAAAATAAGTTCTCTACAAAGAACAAACATAAATAAATAAAATTTCTGCTAATTTTAGTGCACAATTTCTATTTTTTGAGTTTAACATATTTGGAAAAATTAAACATACGATGTTAAATGCGTCATAACTTTCACACGAGACACATTTTATGTCTCTGTAGAGAAAATCAACAAAACATAATTGCCAGGGGTGCCCATATTTCTGCATATAACCATATCTCTATAGACCTGTCCAGGGTGTTTTCTGCCTTCCACCTCCCACAACCCAGGAGGATAAGCAGCTTAGAAAATGTGTGTATGTTTCTAAATATATATGTAATGTGTGTGTGTATATATATATGTAAAATTTATCATTATTAGAGCATTGTAAGAATATTATAAGATGTTCCAGGCCTTGTTTACTTGTTTCAAAAATTAATAAAATTGCCAGAGCAATTAAGATAATTAATAATATTTTATTATTCTCATTCTTTTATAAATCTCATAATGAGAAATATTAGATATACTGCCTAAATTTAAGATGCTTTGACGTGCAGATATTTTTTTGCAAGATATGGCTGTATTCACCATGATTTTTGGAGGTATGAAGTCATCGCCCTCACAGGCTAATCGCTCAAGCTCTTTCTCTTCCTCCCAGTCCACATCATCATACTCTACTTTGTCCAGTGTGCCAGAGGACGCCTGCAGGTCCCCACCTGAGACAGAGGGAGAGAGATAAAAAAGAGATACATGTGACCATTTGAGCCTGCCGTTTGGCAGAAAACATTTTAGAAAGACAGAAGGACAGACTCTTGGGTGATCGTTAGTGCAGTAAACACAGACAGACAGAAAGAAAGACAGACAGACAGATATGTATTATCAAAAAAGATCTGTTAATTAACAACACACTTCTGTTTCTGTTTGAACACATATTGTATCATATCATGCTAAATATGCTAAATGTAACACAAAATGTGTTGTTCTTAAACAGATATACAGAAGTGTCCAGTTAAGGACACTGTGTGTTGTTCTTAACGCATCTGTTTTGAGAGTGTAAATATGAGCTATAGAAATACAAACACTCAATTACACACAGGGATACATGCATTCCAATGAGGATACACAAAGAGCCGGACACCTCTGCCTGTGTGTGTGTGTGTGTGTGTGTGTGTGTGTGTGTGTGTGTGTGCGTGTGTGTGTGTGCTTACAGTACAGTGCCAAGTCAGAGACCACACTTCATTTATTTAATTTCAAGTCAAAAACACCAGTACAAGTTATTCATTTTCAGGAGATAAGGAAATAAACAATGACAAAAAGAAGCTGCTGGTGTTCTCAGAACAATGAACTGACCACCCCAGAGTCCAAAGCTCAACACCAATGAATATGTTTGGGATTACTTATAGTGAGAAGCAGAAAATTCAACCAAGTTCTAAGACTGAACTTGGGAGGTGTGAAAAATATCCCTGCAGATTTCTTTAAAAAAAAACTGTAAGCACGTCTCTCGAAAAGAATGGAAACTGTAATAAAGACAGTAAAGAAATAAAAATGAATCTGATATTATATTTCAGTTGCTGAAGATTCTGTGTCATTTTCTACTAAATATATGCTTCGTGTTTCTTCGTGTTCTTGAAAAATGAATAACTTGTACTTAATGGCTATCTTGTCTGGGCATAATATAAATGAAGGGTGGTCTCTGACTTTTGAACAGTACTGTATAATTACTTCAGATGTTAGATGTCAGGTGTGAACAGGGCCTGTGTATATGTATTTATGTGCATGTGTGTATGTTTGTGTGTTTGTCTACATATGTGTATTTTTATCCATGTGTGTGATTGTGTATGTGTGTGTGATTGTGATTGTGTGTTTGCTAATGTGCTTGCGTGTAGACTCACTGTCTCTGGAGTCGTGCAGTGGATCAGGCTTGATGGGGGTGGGATCACTCCAGGAGCGGCTGAAGCTCTTCGTTTTGCGATCGGCGAATGCTAATAACGGAGCGGAGGAGGAGAGCATCACACACACTGCCCTTCAGCGCGCACAGACACACACGCTCCTCCTCACACACATCACTCAGCGGGCAGTATCCGCTCTTGTCAGTGCGATTACTGGAGTGATGTGCCCTGATAGGCTTTTCTATCAAACTGTCAAGCTCTTCAAATGGCTGCATGGAATTTACCTTCAAACCCCTCAAACTTTCAGTCTAATGTCATAAAAAAAGAAAAGCATGAGCGTAATGTATATTGCTGCTGTCAAATCAAAACCTCATAACATATTTTTTCTTTTTTGTTACAACATTTGAGAACATGAGTTACCCTTTCAGCGCTTCCCCTAGATTTTCATTAATAATAACTTTTTGGGTGGTAGCAGAGGGTGTCTCCTGTTTGTAGCTGGGCCGTTATTTATATTTAGCACATAGTGTTTTTATCTTTCCAGTGCTATCTAAATAACGCTTTTTTATTCACATATTTATTTGTCAGTTTGTTTGTTTGTTTGTTATTTTCAAGAAGTCCAATTGTGATTCAGTAGGAGTTCATTTAGTTTCATTCAGTCAGTTTACTTATACTTAAAGAATTCATTTGCAACTGAATGCTTTATATTTCATACTGGGCAAAAAGAATAATTTGCATATATTTCTATACAAATGCATACGGATAGTATATTGTATAATATGAGAATAGATAGTGTTAATAGTTCTTGAAACCAAGACTAAATACTCTTTGGACTGTCTATAAGAAGCCCCTATATATCTGGTTTGATTACCAGCGACTGAATAATGCTATACTATTGTATGGAAATTAATTGTGACTGCAATTATCCAGAAGGGGGAGCTTTCACTGGTTCCGTTGTCAATAAAATGTCAAAAAGGAAACACCACTCATGAGTTTGGCATGTTTTATTATCCTCAATGCTGGGGAACAACACCATGTTTTGGTAAAACCACCTAAATAAATATTACAACTTGCCACCACTGCTAAAGTGACAACCAGATCCTCTATATCAGACTCTGAAAATAGACTGTGGGTTTGAATTTTGGCCATAGAGTGGCTGGCTTGCACCAATAAGGCTTTAGTGTAAGGCAAGACTCCTAATACTACATTCACCTACAACATGATTAAGCTAAAAGTTCCTCTGGATAAGAGCATCTGCAAATGCCTAAATGTAAATGCTAGGAAGCAAACACTAGTCTGTCGGTTACATCATAATGACTGTATCTCACTCAAGCTGGGCAGCATGTATTTAATGGTAGGGGAGACACTGCCTTCACATTGTGTGAACATTTCATGGTGCATAGCTTGAAAATTGGAATTAAATCTTGCTACATTAATTTACATTAAAACATTGGTTTAGTTCTCCTTTAAAGCTCCAATTTAGAGATACAAGGTTCTGGTATGACAGCAATATGCTTGAAAATAAACTCATTAGATCCAATGATTTATTTTCAGAATTACAGTATATTCAGAGCAACATGTAATCAGCATGAGAACAGTACAAATGGGGCTGAATACCACGTATGCACACTTAGTGTAAAAAGTAAGAAACTACTCACTCTGGGCCTTCATCCTCCTGCTGCCCACCATCCTCAGATGCTTCCGGAAGTTTCTAAAGGCAAGGAGGGTTGAGCGGACGAGAGAGGATTAGGGAGAGAGGTGAAAAGTCAGAAAGAGAGAACAACACAAAACAAAGGGAGAGGAAACAGAAGCAGAAGAACATTTCAGAAACATTACCAGTCATTCAGATCTGGCACAGCCATGCTTGATAACAGACAAGGAAGAGTGTTTGAAGTTACACAAGGTATCACACCTGTTTTTAACCCTTGGAGGTCTAGAGTTATTGTCTTTTTTAATGACATCAGTTACATAATGAATTGCATTAATATTCAACTTACATTCTGTATCAACAGGTTAAAGTCTGCATTTCTTTTTCACATTTCAATGTCAAGAAATGGAAAAAATGGTAAAAAAAAAATAAAACAATATTAGTCTTTCCACGAAACAAGACTGTACACAATAGTAACTTTTCATCAAACTTTGCCAGTAGAACAGGACGCTATGGAGCATCCACATATGAGCCTAAGGTCTCCATGCTGAATGCCAAGCATCAGCTAGAGGGGTACTAAGCCCCCCCCAGCTTTGGGCTGTGGAGCAGTGGGACTGTGTTCTCTGGAGTAATGAAGCTCCATCCAATCCAACTGGGATGAGTTTCAGTGCCATTTGTGATCCAGAACTAATCATCCAACATCAGCACCTCACCTCACTAATGCTGTTGTGGCAGAATGCAATCAAATCCTCATAGCAAGTGCAAAGCTATTAAAACCCTTAATTTCCGAGGAAACTTTCAGACATACAGTGTATTTGTAAGGAAGTTATATTTTAAAGGATTAGTTGAGCAAACAAATGTACAAAATTCCCCCCTCACCCCAGATGTAGCTGATCAGATGTTTTCTCTCTGAATTTTGTTTCTTTATTTGTGCACTGGATCTACCAGGCTAACACAATCTCCCCGGACAAAAAAATTGTCACTTTGCAAGTTTAAAGTGGTGACTAATTTTTTTTCTCAGGGGAGCTTGTGAATAAAAATCGCTTCGCTTCCAGGCAAGAATTGCTTCTAGAAGTCAATGCAAGTCATTCACAACCATTTTCTGAAAGAACACTCCGCAGTTAAGCAATTTTACTGACAAGCCATGAAACACGCCGGCGGTCCCTGTCCGTCAGTTTTGTCTTACAGCCACAATTCTGATGAGAATTTCCTGTAGACTGGGATTTTTGCCACTGCTGGTCGACCCGTAAGACCGTACACTTCGATACACCTGCAAATTCAGCTGCTTCCTTCAGACTGTGGCCTTTGGCATGGCCAAATACAATCATTCCTTTTTGCCATTCATTAACATCTGCTTTGTGACCTATTTTTCACACATCAAACGAGATATTCACTGCTCTGTACCACCTTTTCTCAATCTATGAATCCCGTCGCACACCCCACAGGTATTTATAACTTGATCATCCTCATGCAACGCCATCTGCAGGAGCCTGCAAGTTACTACCACCTTAAACATGCAAGGTGACTAATTTTTTGTCCGAGGAGCTTAGCTAAAAAGTCATAGAAGCTTATTAGCAATATACAATCTGCATACCCAAATCATTACGCACTTGCCTCAAAATGTGTCAAGTCAAGAAGCATGAAGCAATCTGGCCAAAAATGGAAAATGTAACCATCACTATATCTGCTGTACTTTGAAGGCGGGCAAAACTTTTGAAAAGCTACTTTGGGGTGGATTTTTGGGAAACAAATGCTTTGTTTGTTTTTTTTTTTTGCTACTTGGTGAATGCAGAAAGAAGCTTGATAGCTAGCATTACTGCTAGGAAGCCGAATACCAAATATCATCTCTGTAATTATTAGCCTCTGCAACAGTGGATTTCTTTACCTCTATAGCAGATATTCCGAAAGGTCCAAAGGTCGTATGACGTATTTGCTGAGTATTGTAGTGATAGAACACTGACAGATGAAAACACAGAAATGATACAAAATTGAAGAATGTAATGCTGTGCTACAGAACAATACTACATAACAAAGCAAACAACGTCAAATGCTAGTTTAGGCCAGAATGCCCCTTTAAATTATCTCACAAACTTGCTTTTTTGGTTTCTGACACTGTATGACACTGTCATCTATAAAAATTGACAAAAAATGTGTGGCACTGCTAAAAAAAACATCAGTAACAGCTTTGCAATTGGAATGTTCTGGTACGATTGACCGTTTTAACAAATTACAGTGTGACTAAACTGTCACTGTATTGCACTCAGTCAATTCCAGCTTTATCAAGCTCTTCTCTGCTTCACCTGCAGTTTCTTTGAGCGTTTGATTACCTGCTACAGTAGCATCTTTACCAAAACCCACCTAACACTACAGTTACAGTCATCGATTGCTGCAGTGGAGCTGTGATGAACGGCCCTGTCCAAACTCATTCTCTTCACCACACGTCTTTACTTTATGAGGCCTGCTAAACAGGCTTTCTTACACTAAAGCTGGGTACAAAAATATACCTCTTGTCAGAAAGCCTTGATCTCAATCTCAGCAAGCCATGCTGCATCTTTCTCTCATACCTGCCCCCTACTCCACTTTCTCTACATCTCTTATCCTACTTTCCACACCCCCATACTCTATAGCTGCGCATTTAGCATTGTGTCACCATGGTTACACATCAAATCTTACTAGACAGTGAGTACAGTATGAAGAGGAGCTGGACTGTCCTCGGTTCAACCAGCTACAGGGCCAATAGTAGAGCAGCACAGATCAAACAAAAGCCATGAACCAGCTACAAGCAGTAACTGGTATGTCCAATCCAACGGTCAACCTAGCTAGATGGTTTCAGGAGAAATTATCTTGCTTTTGTGAGACTGTAGTAACCATTACATTCAGTGTATTAGTATCCTGAGATCAACTCCTTGAATGCTCTAGTGTTTTTCAACTGTCTGTTGCATTTGTCTTATACCATTGATTATACCTGCACACCTGTTTAGTCATGCAATCAGCCAATCAGCCAATTGCAACAGCAATGCAATGCATGAACTCATGCAGACATGGTTCTAGAGCAGTGTTGACATCAAACGTCAGAATACAGATCTACATCTAGGTGACTATGGTTGTTGGTGCCAGACAGGATGGCCTGAGTATTTCAGAAAATGCTGATTTTCTCAGTGGCAGTTTTGTTGGTGGAAAGGCCTTGTTGATGAGAGAGGTCAGTGGAGAATGGCTAGACGAGACTTGTTTGAGCTGACAGGAAGAAACTTGAATAACCACTCTTTACAACAGTAGAGATAAGAAAAGCATCTCTGCATGCACAACAAATCTATCTTTGAGGTGGACGGGCTACAACAGCAGACGATCACATCAGGTTCTACACCTCCAACAACAGGAATCTGAGGCTGCAGTGGGTAAAAGTTCACCTAAACTGGAGAGTTTCCTATTCCGCCATGGGTTGATGGTAGGTCAACATTTGGTGTAAACAGCATTTATCCCTGGACCCAACCTGACTTGTGGTAACAGTTCAAGCTCGTGGAGGCGGTGTAATGGAGTGGGGAATATTTCTTGGGGCCTTTAATACCAATCAAGCCTGTCTAAGTATTGATGCTGACCATGTGCATCCCATCATGGCAACAGTTTACCCATCTTCTAATTACCAATTCCAGCCTGATGACCTTTTCAGTGTAGCATGGTTTTGTGAGTGTACAGTTGTATGCAGCAGTTTGAAAACACCTGGTCAAGTTGCATGCTTTGTTGATTTTCTAGGTGAAAATAACACATCCTCTTCAGGGTACGCACTTAAATACACAATTTTTTCTACCAATTTTAGTGCACAATTTATATTTACTGGTTGAGCTTAACATATTGGAAAAATATGAAATATAAAAAAAGGCCCAACTTCTGCATAGGCCACATTTTATGTTTTCAGTTTTTCCAATATGTTAAATTCAATGAATAAACAGTAACTGCTCATTAAAATGTGCAGAAGTGTTTCATCGGTAGAGGATATGCACCTGTTTTCATTTTTTAAAAATCAACAAAATATAAATTCACCAGGAGCAACCATACTTTTGCATATGACTGTTTAATTCTCTTAGTATTAGATTCACTTTTGTGTTTTTACTGTTCATGGTTAGTGTGTTAGACTGAAAAATTCATTCAAATTGCAAGAACCACACTCATAACTACATAATTTATGTATTGATTTCATAGTAGCCACCGAATAATCACTAAATAATGAAACTAAAGAATAATAACTGGATAATAATTCAATTTAAAGGCTTACTATGTTATAATATTGCTGTAAAAGTATATGGTAAAGAGAGCTATATTGTACTGTAGTTACTGTGCAGTGTTGCAGAGCACAGGCTAATTTGTATGGAGCTGGGCCATTGCAGGAGTATCTCAATACTTCAACCAGCAAGAACACTCTTAAGTCAAGTGATATTGAATTTCTAGTGTCCTCTTAGGTTTCCACACAATGAGGAGAGTTACATAAAGCAGGGCAGGGCTCTGATGATGCAGAACTGCTGCCCTTTGAGCCACTGTCAGCCATGTCTTTCTATGCCACTGTCAGGGTTGGTACGACAAGTGACAAAAAAAGTGTAGATCTTTAACAGCTTTCAAGAACAGAAAAGGCACTCAGGAGTGGCACGACTTTGCAGAAGGATCCATTTCTAATTAAACGCTCTGATGAACTGACAGCGATCCCCATTCGTGACAGTGAAAAGGAGTGAGGTGTTTAAAATAGAGTGATGACTCAGCGTCTGTGTGTATATGTGTTTGTACATCTGACATATTCATGATTAGCCGCCTACAGTCTCGAAAAGAAAAAAGCTTCACTAACACCTGCAACACAATCACTTTTCTGACTGATGTCGACATCACTGTGTGTGTGTGTGTGTGTGTGTGTGTGTGTGTGTGTGTGTGTGTGTGTGTGTGTCCTACTCTGCACTAATTCCGAGAGATCCTTCAAAACTTTGCGACAGCCTAGAGTAAAAACATCAAACATATTCTGACAACCACACACACACCTACACAGAGTCACACACTTAGACATGATCTCAAACATCTCTGTG